GTCTTGTTTACCCTCTGTTACCCGTATGTCAGTCTCCTTCTTCTAGCTCCATTCTAGATCAGTCTGTCCACGCCTGCCTCCAGTCTGCTGATTAGCCTGGTCTTTGTTCAGTCTCCCGTTTATACTCCTCCTCTTCAGTGACTGTTTGCTGGTTTCTCCTCGTTTCTTCCTCCTTATATGAGTTTTCCCCGACGTCTCCTTTTTATTTTTGATTTTGCTGTATTTTGTTTTTGAATTTTACCTTCTGTTGCATTTGGATCTACTTTAATTTAGCAAAATCTCATCTTTGGGTCTCTGCATTCGGGTCCTCTTCAAACCTCCACCAACCTGACAGACTTTGAGTTTCCTCCTGGTTCTGATTGACCTCGTTTGGACTCATTAATCGAATCTTCATGTTTGGAGTTTTTCATTCCAAGACTAGAACTCAGATTGTTCTGCCGACGTAAAAAACTGAGAAGGTGTACATAGCAGGAACCAGAATGGCAGCAGATCTCCACAAATGCTTCATCATCATCATCATCATCATCCTCATGAGAACCTGTGGAACCGGCTCAGCCAATCAGAAGTTCTCTGATTGATCGGAGGACGGTTGCCGTAGATCTGGTTTTTAATAAACCTCCTAATAAACAAACCTGTTCTCCAGGGTGGTCTGGCTGTTAACTCCCTGGTTCCACCAGCTTTATGACCTGGGGGTAGAAACGTGTCTCTGCCACAGGCTGCACATGTTTTCTGCCTTTGTCTGGTTTCTGGCCGTTCTGAAATGATCCTGATAGGAAGCAGCTACTCATTCTGACATGTTTGTTCGGCCGTCACTAATTATTTGTTCACTATTTTGCACGTCTGACAGATTGCTGTTCATCAGGAATTATTCTGGTCTCTCTGCAGGTCTTGCAGGTCCTCCTCTCTCAGCTTTATTGCTGCAGTGAATAATCTCCATGTTTGTGAATCAGTTAGATGTGAAACCAGCTGAGCTCAGAGCCTGAAGTTCTGCTGCTCCACCTGCAGGGTGGAGCTGGCAGAGGCTGCCAGCAGCCCAGGGTTTCCTGTCACCTCAAAGTGTTTTTATTCTGGTCAGCGGTGCGTAGGTGTTTTCTGTGGGGTTCTCCCCCACAGCACAAGAGGAAACACCACAGAGCGAGCCTTCAGCGCACAGCTTGAAGAAAAAGAAAGTGGTTACGACTGAAAGATTGACAAATGGCAAAGCAGAAAGGCAGAGATAGAGAATTACTGTAAAAACTGAACCATGATTACTGTAACTTTGCTTCAGATTTCTGTTGACTGAAAGCGAATCACTGAAAGGGGATCAAAGTGAAAAAGTTAGTCATTTTTCAGGGTTTCAGGTTGGTGCATAGATGAGAATCAGTGGAAACAGTCACGCTTTTTAAAGCCTAGAAGGTGACGGAGGGTCTGAAGGTTTCAGAGCATCTGCTCACTGTTTTCACTGCAGTCAAATCAATAAAAACTGTTTTATGGATCATTAAAATCATTAATTAAGATCATTAAACTGCTTCAGGGCTGAAAACTGGCTGAAATGTCTGAGTGTAAAAATATTTTCATGTGATCAGGAGAAAAAAGACGAGTTTCTTCACCAGAAACAGAGTTTCTCTCGCATCACATGCAGTGTTACTAAAGAAATGATCCTAACGGCCACCGGATGGCATCACAGTCAGCTGCTCCATCAGCTCCACCTTCAGCTGCTCCGTCAGCTCCACCTTCAGCTGCTCCGTCAGCTCCACCTTCAGCTGCTCCTTCAGCTGCTCCTTCAGCTGCTCCTTCAGCTCCACCTTCAGCTCCACCTTTAGCTCCACCTTCCATCTCTAAGCTAAGCAGCAGCAGTAACCTGCCTGTTACCCTGTGGAGCAGAGAGTCATCACGCTGCTGTAAGAACAGGTGGGCGATCTACCTTCCTGCTACGCCGCCCCCTGCTGGTGACCTTAGGGACGTGAGGCAGGTTGCTGCAAACGGCCTCCATGCAGAGACTGAAATAAAATGTCGAGTGACTTTGATTCTTTTATCTAAAGCTGTCAGTTAAAGCAGGTCTTATGCAGAGTTTCATTTCTTTCTTTTCTAGGAACTAAAGTGTGAAAAAGTGACGTTGTTAGATGAATGAAGAAGTGGAGATAAATATAAAGAGACTTCTCATTATCATTCATGACTTTTCTCACACTAATGTTGATAAGAACATCCTGTGGACCAGCCGGGGGTTTCAGGGCACAGAACTGACTGAAGAGTCCATAAACTGTTTGCAGCTCAGATATCATCAACGTCTCCAGGAACGCCTGCAGCAAAACCGCTGTAGAAAGAAAATCTATATATCTATATATATGTAGATATACATGAAACTGTATTTCTTTAGACATTACAATCCCTTTGAAGATAAATCTGCTGAGATATTCATGAATTCAATTAAATTCTATTCAGTTTATTTCTATAACTCCAATTCACATCATTTCATCTCAGGTC